ATAGAAATAAACTGAATAGAATTGAATTTGAAGGAAACCTTGAGGGATCCATTTTGCGTTGCAGATTAGAGACGCAGTGACATCATCAGGTACCATCCAGTGAGTGGCAGAAAATAACCACTCCACCATGGTGAAACACGGCGGTGGCAGCTTCATGCTGCGGTGAACCCATGATAGAAAGATGGGGCTGATGATTGGAAGGTTTGTTTCCATCACAGGTGCTCAGAAAGCAGATGTTCCAGATGTTCCTTCAGTCAGGCTCTGAGTCGGAGCAACAGCGGCTCGCCTATGATGATGATGATGATGATGATGATGATGATGACGCTGCTGAGACGCCTTGTTTTCTATTTCCTGTCCACAGCTGATCAGTTTCCTGTTTTCTTTGACCATCTCTCCAGCAGCTGATAAAACAGGAAGTTCCTCTTATCTCTGTTGTGTAATATGAGAAGAGGAAATGTGCCGTATCTGTTCCTTTACCGACCCGTCTCCCTCCCCCCCGCAGGCCGGGTGGGAACTCCTCACTTCATGGCTCCTGAGGTGGTGAAGAGGGAGCCGTACGGTAAACCGGTGGACGTGTGGGGCTGCGGAGTCGTCCTCTTCATCCTGCTGTCCGGCTGCCTGCCGTTCCACGGCATCAAGGAGCGACTGTTTGAAGCCGTCTGCAAAAGCAAATCCAAGGTCAGCGCCGCCCCGCTCCATCTGGGGCCTGCCGGGGGCGGGTCAGCGCCGGCCCACTCCATCTGGGTCAGCGCCGGCCCGCTCCATCTGGGTCAGCGCCGGCCCGCTCCCAGCAAACACTGAATAATCAAATAAATGGCTAAACGTGTTAAAAGGAGGAATTATGTTGAGCTGCATGTTCATTGCTGCCTCTGGAAAAGTCTTTGTGTTTCCAGATGAATCCCCGCCAGTGGAGCCACATCTCAGAGAGCGCCAAGGACCTGGTGAGGCGCATGCTGATGCTGGACCCTGCAGAGAGGATCACCGTCTACGAGGCGCTGAACCACCCCTGGCTGAAGGTACGAGCTACGAGTCAGCAGAGCTCCAATGAAGCTCACCTGGACAGGTCCTTCCTCTCTCAGCAATCCCTCTATCATCGACTCTAATCTAAACTCTGGACTCTTCCACACTTTACAGATGGAACCAGAACAGTTCTGGTTCTGGTTTGGTTCTGGTTCTGGTTTGGTTCTGGTTTGGTTCTGGTTCTGGTTCTGGTTTGGTTCTGGTTCTGGTTTGGTTCTGGTTTGGTTCTGGGTTAGGGTTAGCTAGAGCTGCTGCTGCTCAGGAAGAAAACTGAGTGGAAGGAAAACCCCTGTGATGGTGTGAGCTGCTCCATCAGAAACAGGAAGTGCTGTAACGGCGGCGAGTAGGAAGCTGCCGCCGCTCCTCTGCTGGTTCCAGATGTTTGGTTCACAGGAAGCAGCTGTTTTCACTGATCAAAGGTTAAATCCGGCTGGACTGACAGAACGCGTCTTCTTGTTCTGGGTGTTTCTATTCGCTCCTGAATTATTCCCTTCAGGCGTGTTTCCATGGTGAGGATGAGGATGGTCAGATTACCAAGAACCAGAAGAGTTTGGCTGCGTCGCCATAATCTGTTCCTCCAACATTAAAAGCAGCCAATCAGAGCCCATCTGGATCTCTCATAACCTTCTCCCCGTTCTGCTTCACATCATCACACATCACTTCCTGCCTGAGTCTGTTCTGGATTCTGTCTGGATTATTTCTGTCTGGATTATTTCTGTCTGGATTATTTTCTGTCTGGATTATTTCTGTCTGGATTATTTCTGTCTGGATTATTTCTGTCTGGATTATTTTCTGTCTGGATTATTTCTGTCTGGATTATTTTCTGTCTGGATTATTTTCTGTCTGGATTATTTCTGTCTGGATTATTTCTGTGGGTGGAGAACCTTTAGAGGACGTCCCTCCATGTTTTAACTAGAAGTTTGAGGCTGAACCTTTTGAACTCCTGATCTCTGGCAGCTCCAGATTACAGCGTCTCCAGTTTCCTGGTTTTCGCAGCTGTTCTTCAGAACATGTGTTCCTGCAGAGGAAGCCATGAAGCTGAAGAGCAGAGCTTCTACCAGCAGCAGGTTGTGAAGGTTTTCTCTCCTTTGTGCAGGAAAGGGACCGCTACGCTTACAAGATCCACCTGCCAGAGACCGTGGAGCAGCTGAGGAAGTTCAACGCCAGACGGAAGCTGAAGGTTCCCCCCCGTCCTGCTCTACGTCCTTCAGAAGCTCCATGATGAGCCCTCTGGTGTTAATGCTCCTCGTCTCCTTTCAGGGAGCGGTGCTGGCTGCTGTGTCCAGTCACAAGTTCAACTCCTTCTACGGAGACCCACCAGAGGAGCTCCAGGACTTCTCTGAAGACCCCACCTCCTCAGGTGCCACATCTGGATCAGCTCCTGTCTGACTGCTCACCTTCTGCTCCTCTCCAGCTGCTGGAGAGACACAGGAAGTGACCTGAGGGACATCGTCCCATAGGCTACGTTCTCACTGCAGACAAATGTGGCCCAAGTCCGATTCCTCTCCCCCTTAAGTGACTCGTTTCTTTCAATGAATCTGACTTTTAAATCCGATCTGAGCCACATTTCAATGCAGTTTTACATCCGACACAGATTGGATCTTTGGAACCTGACTGAAGATTAGTGTGACGATGATGACCTGGCTGCTGCAGACAGGGCTAACGTTAGCCCGGCTGCAGCAGATAGGGCTAACGTTAGCCCGGCTGCAGCAGAAAGGGCTAACGTTAGCCCCGGATGCAGCAGACAGGGCTAGCGTTAGCCCCGGATGCAGCAGACAGGGCTAGCGTTAGCCCCGGATGCAGCAGACAGGGCTAGCGTTAGCCCCGGATGCAGCAGACAGGGCTA